TCTGCCCTCAGGTCACCTCCTGGGTTCTCCCTGTGCATTAATCCATCTCTTTTCCTGTTGGCCCTAAGGCATGCAGTCTCAGTGGGGGCAATATCACCCCCAACGGGGCAAAATTTTGGTTTTGGTGAGGAGGCAAAAAAAAAAGAAACAAAAACACATCTTTTGATGTGCAAAAAACAGATAAACGTACAACATAGAAAGAGATATCCAAGCCAGTAAGGTGGTGCACACCTGTAATCCCAGCAGCTCAGGAGGCTGAGTCAGGAGGATCGAAAGTTCAAGACCAGCCTCAGCAACATCGAGGTACTGAACAACTCAGTGAGAGCCTATCTCTAAATAAAATACAAAATAGGGCTGGGGATGGGGCTAGTGGTCGAGTGCCCCTGAGTTCAATCCCCAGGTACCAAAATAAAAAAGAAAGAAAGAGCTATCCAGTCTCTCTGTGGCGCTAAGATCTCCTGGGAGGCATTATCAGGAAGCAGCCTCCTTCCAGGGAGCAATAATGAAAAAATGATGGAGAAACGCTGGCCCAAGGAAGATGCCCTCTGCTCACGCCTGTGCCCTTTTCCTTCAGTGACAGCTGCCTGATTTCAGAAGTCAGTGAAGCGCGCGCCATCATGTCCTTTGCTAGCTGCCTGCCGCCAACCCCGCAACTCTCTGGAGCACGCAGTCCCTCCTGTGTAGGACCGTCACCACTCTTTGGCCACAGGCACAGTGCCTACCTGCCTGGCCTGTTATCTTACTGGCCAACCATAGTCCAGTGTTAAACCCATTCACAAGGCTCACCTTTGACGCCCAGGCCAGGGAGTCTCTACCTTTGACATTTTGCTGACTTAGTCTCAATGAGGAAGGAGTCACAGACATGACCCAAGTGCGCTAAGGGACTTGCTTATGAAGTGCGTTCACACTCTCTGCCTGGTCCTTACAACCCTGGGGTGGGGGGGCGGGTAAGCCTCGCAAGGGAAACCAGGCTTCGGAGGACAGGGTTGGCCTCCCGCCTTCACCCAGGAGGCAGAGTCGGCTGCCCTGACAGGTGGAAGTCCACTGCTCCCACCATCCTCCTGCTCACGGCTCAGAGGAGCGGCACTCAGGTGTGACGAGTGTTTTTAAACCCGAGAGGAAGGATGAGTTAGGTCAGGAAGGAGAAGCTCCAAAGTCACCTTCTCACCAGGCCAGCAGCAGTGTAGAAGTGCCCACCCATGGTGCCCACCCTTCCTCACCACAGCGTGGGGGGACGTGGTGTAGAGTAGTTAAGAGGGTAGGCTTTGAAGTCAGGAGGACATGGGAACTGCATGCCAACTCTGTCACTTACTAGCTACCCAGCAGGTACCCAACTTCTCTAACCTCAGTTTTCTCATCTGTAAAGTGGAATTAATAACAGACGATCTTACAGGATCATGAACCTTCCCTGAGATACTAATGAAGAGCCCTTAGCACTGTCTGGCACATAATAAGTGATCAAGAAACCAAAGAGGCTGATGGCCTAAGAAATTTCTCAGAATATTCATCCTACTTTTTCAGTGCCCCATCTCTGAAATGCCCCCAAATTCTTGTTGACCTCTAAGAATTTAAGAGAAAATAAAACCTGCCTTCAGGTAGCTTTGATGGGCTGTTGCTGCTCCTGTAACCCTTATCTCCTCCAGAGACACCCTCCTGATGACCCTCATCCTGAGCAGGCTAGACATGGATACCCTCCCCCATGCTACCTTTAGACCTGATCCCTGGAAAATACCTTTTTTCCAGGCCTGTCTCTTAAGATTAGACAACCTTCTCCCCTGTTCTAGTTGGCCTGTGGGCACATCTGCTAAATACATATCTGGGTCTGAGCCATCTCCCAGACTTGAATGTGTCCAGCTCTGCAGGCTGGACCCGAGCCCAATAACAAGCCCTTCCCAGACCCCAGGAGAACTGGGTCCATTCCCTTGACCAGGCCTGATGCCTACTTTTTCTGTGAGGTCAGCCCTGGAGGACAGGGAGACAGAACTAAGAGAGGGTAGAGGCCAGTCCTCAAGGATATTTCAAACCCCAGACAGGGAAGGGTAACAAATGACTCTTATGAAACTCCAAAGTGATCAAAGACAGGGGGAGAAGCAGGTGCCTGAGCCCCAGAGGGGAAATTTACTTCCCTGCTATCAATTCTCAAGTTTTCTGGAGGCCTTCCTGGAGTCTTCACGATGAGCTCATGAGCAATGGCACTGAATCCTCCTGGCAGCTCCCTGGGCAGGGGCAATATCCACCATCTCTCTGAAGGCCTCTCCCCATCTCCCAATCACCCCCACCACGAAAATTCCCTCATCTCTGAGAAGGGGTGTGGCCAGGAAAACATCTGGCCATAACACATCTGCAGGGCACATGCCACTGTTTCATTGCACCAGATGACAACCCAGAAGCTCAAGTGCTACCAAAGATGAGGCAGAGTCAGGATTTGAACCCAGATCCTTTATATTTAAGTTTTGTTCCATGATATGATAAAACTAGTCATTCCAGTAAGTTGTGTACTAAACTCCATCTCTGCCAAAGAAAAATCACAAAACACCCAAATTGTTGTAGTAGTTCTTGTTTAGATCCAAGTGCACGTAGCTAGTGCAGGGGGTTTTGTGTTTGATGTCTCTGTTTTCAGTTTAGCAACGTCCACCATCAGAGTGTGACTTCCTTGATGTCAACCATTGTGCTCAGCTCCACCTTAGGACTGGGAACTTTCTGAAAACAATTCTAATTCCAACTTCACCTCTCAACTGCCTCTGGGGTAGACAGCCGTCTGGCCAGGAGCTTGGAGGCCTCTCTACACGCCCCCCAGTGATAACAAAAGAGCAGACCTGCTCCACCCAGCAGGCTGCAGAGGCTTGGCAAGCTGGCACTTGGAGGCCAGAACCCTGAATCCTTGATTTTACTTTGGAGCTGACGCACGGATAAGAAAAGAGGTTCCCCCTTTAGTAAACCAGGGCCTGAGAGGTCAGGAAGCTGCCCGCTCTCCAGTAGCCCTGCCCCACACCATCCGCATTTCCCATCCCATCCATCTCCTTCTTCTCCTCAGCCTGGCCTTCCTAGCTCCCTGCTCACCCTCCCTTGGAACCAGACTCCTGGCCTTCTCACATTTCTGGACCTGGGGAAAGAACTGGCACTTCAGAGAAGGGAGCCTGAGCCCCAGCTTCCCTCCAGCCACCGGCAGGCACCCACCCAGTCCTGCCAGCCAGAGAGGCAGCTGGGAGCCCACCTCCGGAGAAGCACCGCCAGAGGCTGGAGCAGAACTGCCAAGTTTGCTGTTTGCATTCCCCAGGGTGAGGACCCGGAGATAAGTTATTACATCCTTGGGCAGGAATTAGACCAGAAACTCTAAATTAAGGGCTGGGCAGGGGCCTGAGAAGAACCAGGGGAGGCAGCCTGGAGGAGAGGTGGAAGGAACTCTGCACTCCCAGCCCCACACACAAGGGAAAGACAACATTCCAGCATCAGCAGAAGGGCGGGCAGCTGTCTTGATGCTTGGTGACGGATGGCTCCAAGCACAGGCCTTTAGGAGCTTCCCATCCTCCCTGCAGACCCTGACCCCTGCAGGCCCAGACAGACTGACCCCAGGAGCAAGTCTAGGCTGCGCTATGTTACTGGATATAGCTCTGGCAGGGGGTGGTGACCAGCCCCAAGACTCAGTTCACTTGCTCCCAGTTCACCCATCATTCCTGCCTGGGCTGGCTCCCGACAAGTTCCAAATTGGCCCCCACCCAAATACAGGAGCCCATCAAGAACCTCTCGCCTTGGTCCCTAGGAGCTTTTCGGTTCTCTCCCCAGCTTTGCTCCTCCCTAGCAGCGGGGGTCAGTTTCCTGAAGCAGCCCCGTCCCCAAGCCCCACAAAGCCAATCAGACCATCTAGCCCACAGCTACAACCTCCCTCTCTTTCTCTCTCTCTCTGTCTCTCTGACACACACACACACACACACACACACACACACTTCATGATGGGCAGGGCAGAGGGTCAGCATCTATCTACAGCCTTGCTAGTAACTCCAGCTCAGAGTATAGGCTCAGACAAGCACCCTCTCCCTGTAGGTCTGTCTGTCTGTCTGTCTGCCCCTGTCTCTGGGTGCACTTGGATTGGTCTGGCTCAGTCCCTCTGCGGTCTCTGCTCAGGCTCCCTCCTCTCTCTACCTCTCTTCGGCTTTCAGGCTGTTCTCCCAGGAACTCTCTGCCTCTGTCCTTTGTACTGGGCTGATGGGAAGATGGGCAAGACACTCCCTCCAAGGTCTGTGCAGAGCAAGACACAGTCTACCTCCTTGGTGCTTTCCAGGGCTCTTCCTCTTCCCTGCCCAAGCCAACCTTAGAACCAGGGCAGGGCTGGGTGGGAGTCAGACCTACCAACCCCGGCATGGCTAATGCCAGTTTCCATATTGCTTCATCATGCCACTCTGATGCCCCAAGCTGCACATGCACGATCCCCCATCTCTCTGCATTCGACCGAAGCCAGAATAGGGTCCCTGTGCTTGCCCTACCTGCCTCCCCAAACTGCAGCCATGCCTTTCTCCCCTGGATCTGCGATCGGCACTGCATCAACCCCTCAGCACTTGGATCTACTGCACCCTACCCAGTCACCAAGCTCCGGAGTCCCCGCGCCCCCACCCAGACCCCAGCAATGGCTCTCTCCAGGCCTCTCATGTGCGGAGATGCAACAGAGTGGTCTGGTGGCAAAGTTCTCCTGCTGCTTCCAACGGTTCCGTTTGCCCGCGGCTCCCGGTCTCTCCCACCCGCTCCCGGCTTCACACCGACCCACTCTCCTCGCTCCCCGGCAGTTTCACCCCCACAATCGAAAAACAAGAAAGGAAAGGAAACCTCTCGCGATAAGGATGGGTAAAAAGAGAAGGGGGTGCCCGCACGAGGATCCAGGATGAGGGGAGTCATCAAGTGAAAAAGAAAAGGATGCAAAGTTCCCCGTTCCCTCGGGTGCGTTCAGCCCCGCGCTGAGCTCGCGCGAACACCCCGGATACCGAGACGCGGCGGCGGCGACCACTCACCTGGGCAAGGCAGCATCTACCCTCGGCTGGGAGGCTCCGAGGCCGGCTCCGCGGGGCGCTCGGGCTCCCCGGCTCGGCCACGCATCCTTCCCCGCCCGAGACAGGCTCGAGCTAAACCTCCGGCTCCGGCGAATGCAGGCAGATGGTGGCCTCCGACGTCCGCGCGGGGAGAGCCCTGAGCGGCTTATTCAGTTATATCCATGGCATTTAGCAAGAAGAAGGGTGGGGGGAGCACAACTTGTTCTCTTCTCTTCCAGGTTTAAGAAAAAAAAAAAAAAAGGAAAGAAAACAGAATTCCTTCCTAGGAAGATGCCCGTAGGATTTTCCGGATCCAAGAACCCCAGGCATTCCCAGGAACCTCGGGCATCATGGAATGTGGGGTGTCTTCAAGTTCAGACGAGCCTGCCGGGGTGTGTGTGTGTGTGTGTGTGTGTGTCAGCGAGAAGGAGCCAGGCACTCACACCCACACGCACACACACAAACACACTCCCCCGCACTCCCCGCAAGCACACTGCCCCCCCACGCGTGCACGCACACGCGCGTACTCAGTCTCTCTAGCGCTCACACACACACACACACACACACACACACACACACACTGTCTCTCTCCCACAGAACGATCACACGCACAGATCCGGAAGGGAGCTGGGCGGGCTGCGGAGGCAGCGCAGGGCCAGCAGCGGAGAAAGCCTACCGGCCGAAGGCGCCCAGGAGCCCGGCGGCCGTGCGCTCCGTCCCCGCCGGGATCGCCGGCTAGGCAGCCCCCAGTGGCGGCCGGCGGAGCTGCAGGAGCCGGGAGCCAGCCTCCCTGCCCACCGCCCGGCCAGCCGCGGAGAGCACCCACTTCCGCACGGACCGACACGGCCAAGGAAACCCTAGGGATTCACGGTCCTGGCCGGGTTGGCGCAGGAATGGTGAAGACAACTGGCGGGACCCGCACGAACAGGAGGGACTGGCCTGGGGCCGCAGCCCAAGGAAGCGACCGACTGGTGGGCGGCTAGACCCGGAACCCGGAGGGCGGGCTCGGCGGCTGGGTGACGCGGGCAGCCCCTGCGCAAGGCGACCCGGGCGGCCAAGGCTGCGCTGCTGCAGCCGGCGCCGGTGCTGCCGCCTCACGTGCGGCTCGCGCTGTGCAGCCGTCAGCCCGCCGCCTGCCGGAGGAAAACCCGACCACGCCGGCCAGGAGCCGAGGTTGGGGGCTGGGAGGATCGCGCCCACCCAGCCCTGGAGCCCGGCTCTGAGTCCGCACCCTAGCGAGAGACCTGCGAAAAATCAGCGCCTGGTGCATGCACACTCACTTCGACTTTTCGTGAATATTACAAGAACCCGTGGTGTTTAACAGGATCGCGAATCTTTACAACTCTTAGCTTGTTTGATCTTCTCAGCAACCCCATTTGACATAAGGAGGAAAAAGACTCAGAAGAACAACGCGACTTGCCCAAGGCACGTGGTAGATAGTGGCGTCCCTACTCAAAGCAGATGGTGGGTTTGGAATCAAAAGGCCGGGGTGTGGCCAGGGTCTCTTCATCTTTGATTACCCCCTCTGCCCACTGGGATAATAACAGCCAGTTCCTGGGGAATGCAGGACTGGGCTCTGCCTTCCTGGGTTCCCAGGAAGTGCACCTTTCCCATTGAAGGAGATCCGTTGTCAAGTCCTACTCATGCTCCAGGGGCAGGGAGAATGTCAACATCCATTTCTTCTCTACTGGTGGCCAACATCCCATGCACCTGTCCCAGTTACCCACAGGGAGGCACATGTGGCATGTGGATGAGTCTCTGCAGCACAGCACTGGCTCAGCTGGATTAATGTGTAACCTTAGACACAGTCTCCTGTCTAGGCACATGGGAGGGTGCATAGATGCAGAAGCCCACGCAGCTAATTACCAAGCACTGAGTACCCAGGAAAGCTGCCACATGGGCAGGCTACAGACCCTTGAAGACAAACCTTCCCTGCCAGGATTCTGGAGAGCCTGGGGTGGGGAGAAGGGTGTGGCCAGGAAGAAGCACAAGGTGTAGCAAGGTGGGCTGGCCCTGGGGAGAAGGAAGCTAACTCAGGCAAAGTGAGGCACAGGAAAGGTGGGGAATAGAGGAAGAAAATAAAAATAGGAAGGGAAGGGAGAAGGAAGGGGGAGTTGAGTAGGAGGTCCAGGGAGAAGCTGGAGGGCATGTTGAAGGGAGGAGGAAGGGGAAAGGGAAAAGGAGGGAGAGGTGAGAATGGGAGAGGGTGTTTTCCTCCCTTCTAAACTCCACTATAGAGGTGGAGTCTCCCTGGGGGAGGGGAAAGGAATGGAGATAGGAACTGCAGTCCCAGCTCAAGTCTCTGAATTCCCCCAAGAGTGGGGGCAGCAAGTTAGGATACTTGCATGCTCCACAGTCATCCTTAAGAGGACCAGAATGGAGTGGCAGAAATACAACCAGGCAGCCACCAGAGCAAAAATGGAACTGTTCTGGGAAAGGTTAAAAAAAAAAAATGAGAAGGGGCGGGACACAGGAAAGATGGCCCAATCCCTGCTCCGGAATAAACCCTCATACCCTATCAGAAAGTTTTCCCTGGTCAGAGAAGGAAATGTGGATATTTTTGAAGAGTCAGACCCTGGATCAGGGGTAATTCAGAGACTGGCTCTGCTGAGCACGGGCTAGGAATCAGGTGGCTAGGAAGCTTGCCATGGTTTCGGAAGAAGGGGTGATGTGACAAGTTCCTTCCCCTTAAAGGGTTTGGATATGTGCTTTGTAAGAGCCTTTCCAGTTCTGATGACCCTGGAGCAACCTCGGCATATGGATGGGGGCCCAGATGCATCTTAGGAGGCCAACAGAAAACCAGTGCAGCCGCCATAGGGCAGATAGCAAGGAAAATCCCCAGAAAATAATCCACATTTGGATCATGGAAAGGTGAGTGATGGTAGATTTCTTGTTCCCTTGAGTAAGCCCAGAGGGTGGGGTATGGACACTAACATGGCACCTGGCTGCTTGCTCTGGTCACTAACCACAACAGTGAACCAGGGCTTGCTACTAGGTAATACCATGTTTCTGTATGAGACAGGGATGTCACACAGAAGTCATTCTAATGATGGGCATTTGGATTCTCCCCCATTTTCACTCTTCTAATAACCCTGAGATGAACATCTTTGTATTTAAGTCTTTGCCCACATTCTTGTTTCTTTAATCAGCCAAGACCCCCTGAAGTGGAATCACTGTGTTAAGGGTATGATCATTTTGAAGGCTCTTTGAACACACTTCTTTGTTTCGGTTTTAGAGTCAAGGCACTGAAGTGCAGGGTCGATAAATGATTTCCCAGAGAGCGCCCAGCAGGAGCCTAAGGATGTTTCCGCTCACCCTCTTACTGTCTCCGTGGGGTAGAGAATGCCTTGGGTTCCAGGCTGCACGCCAAGGTCACTCTCCATCCTTCAATATGACTCTAAAACTCCAGTGTGAAGAAAGTTCCAGCTCCATGTGCTCCCAGTCCAAACTCACCCTCCTTGAGGCCACCTACTCTCCCGGGCATTCCTCATCAGCCTTACCCTACTGTCGGAAGCCCTGACTCCCTGGCTGTCCCATAAGGACCAGTCCCCTGGCACACTTCAGAGCATAGAGCTGACTCCCAATACCTGCTTGCTACCTGGAATCTAATAAGGAGATGGCCTAACAGGGGCTGGAGGTGGAGAGACACTCAGCCTGGGGAGAAGACTGAATTAGCCTGGGTCTACACACCCATAGAAGCACCCCAGTGCAGAGGATGAAGGTGTACTGTGCCCACTAAATACGAGAAAGAGAAGGAATTGTCCTAAAACAAAGTGAAGGCTTCGGGTTAGACAGCAGGATGGAGCCGGGTGCCTGAGGCCATGGAGTTCAAGGATGGTGACCGTTAAGTAAGCCCGTTCCATAAAAGAGGGGTGCAGTTTGTAATCCCAGAAAGCATGTGATGTCATGTACCTCAGTTTTCCTTGGCTCATTGTGGCCTGAAGAGTGGCCATTGGCTAGGAGAATGGGAGCGATCCCAGGACACGGTCTCAGTGGATCTCTATTCCATGGACTGGAAGCTGGGAGCCACTGAATTCTCAGCATCCCCTTCACCTAGCTTCCCCCAGAACCAGCAGCTGCCCTATCTCCAGCTTATCCCATAGGCCTGTAGGATGTGGGCAAATGCATCCCCAGGAAGTAAGACCCAGAACTGGAATATACTTTCTGGACATGAGGATGTGGTCTATAGATTCCACATCCTTCTCAACTGCTCTTTCTTTCCCAAATGCTGGAGTAAGAAGCAGCCAAAATAAATTCCTATTAGTATGCATATGTATTCCCAAATTCCTAACGGAATGACTAACACCACCTACAGCCATTAGTTGTAGATGTTTAGAGTTTGTTTTCTAAATCCAGTTTACTTTTCATCACCCAGCCCTCTGTTTACCTCCTTCCCTCCCCATCCCCAAGCCCTGTGGGCAACCATCTCAGCTTCTTGCCCCAGTGCCAGGTCTGCCTGCCAGTGACTTCCTGATGCACCAAAGATCAGACCATCCTGGGTCCTCATGATCCGTCACCAGAGAAGACTTTACTGAGCATCTTCTATGTAGCACCTAGTGCTTTGCTGAATACTATAGAGGAGAAGATAAGGAAGGAGAAGGCAGAGAGAAAAGACTCGCACTGACACTAGCACCGCGGCTTTCAGTCTATAAAAAGCATCCTCAAATGCTCCCTCATTGGTTTGGCACAATAATCACATGACATAGATCATTGTCCCCATTTAACAAAGACACTGAATCCTGAATAGGTAACATGCCAGCTCTTGAAGCTATGGACTGATGGCCCTGGATTTCAAACCAAGTCATCTGACCCCACATCCCAGGGTCCTTCCTGTGTACGGAGCAGCCTCTCCAATCCCTGCCTTGTGCTACTAGCTGGCCAAGCACCTGATGCAGCCTGGAGTGCAGTAAACATCAGGCAAAGAGAAGGCCAAGGTGACCAGGGCTGGCTTCATAGAAGCTTTCCAGCCCAAAAGACACACACACTGACCGATGCACAGTTAGAACATTCTGGATTTGGGGTGGTATGGTAGAAAAAGCACCAGAAGAACAGTAGGGGCTCCAGATCCTGGTTTCTTAATATGACCATAGGGGCAACTGTCACTCTCCCTGGACTTCTGTTTCTTCATTCTAAACGAGGCAGTCAAGGCTAAATGATCTCTAAGATCCAATTAGAAGCAATAAAGAAAACAGCCATTCAGAACCGCAGACAACACATGTCATTGTTTCTTGGTGTTCTGTTTCCTACCAAGGAATTCCCAAATCTTAAGGGTGGGGTCGCAGCAGAGAACACTGTGGGCCGACATGAGTGCCTAGGCAAATCTGAAAAGGATCATGACTCCTTGCTCTGCCCAGACACTGGCCACAGCCCAGGCAAATGTCCCAGGGCTTCTCCAGGCCACCCTGAACCCCCACCCCACTCCCCGATAATAACAGTACTAGGACTGTGTACAAGCCACTCTTTCTGCCATGGATGAGAATTAGTTTATTTAA